ACTCGTTTGACCTAAGAGAGCACCTGGATCGCTTTTTGATGCTAATTAAATCAGTCAAATAGTTAGGGGCTAGACCATATAAACAGTTAAATGTCAAAAGGAGAATCTTAAACTTTATACGGTAACTAATTGAGAGACAATGAAGGTGGAGAAGTAATGGTGTAACATGGCAGTATTTTGGTGATCCAGTGACCAACCGAGCTGCGGCATTCTGTATCCGTTGGAGTTTCATGATATGTGAATTCGGGAAGCCATATAGTAGACTGTTACAATAATCTATTCTACTGGTTATAAAAGCGTGAACTAATGTTTCAGTGACTGAACGACTCAGATATTTCCTAATTCTACGTATGTTGTAAAGATAATAGATTGCGGATGAGCAAGTTCTGTTAATATGACTAAGCATACTCATCTTCGAATCAAACCAGATTCCTAAGTTTCGAACTTCAAATGATGAAGCAATTTTGGAGTCGCCAACCGATAAGATGCTGATGTTACTGACTTTCTGAAGTTGTTGTCGCGCTCCAATCAGAACAAATTCTGTCTTATCCGCATTCAGTTTTAACTTGTCCGTTTGCATCCACTGACTAAAGTCAGCGATACATGATTCCATGGCAGCTAAGGCAGCGAATTCTTCCATGTCATTTCCTGATCTAAACGCGATGAACAGTCGTGTGTCATCTGCATAACAATGGGGATTAGGAAGATGTGTTTCGATGATCCTAAAAAGCTTCCTGGCGTAAAGAGAAAATAATAACGACCCGAGACAGCTGCCTTGTGGAACTCCAAATTCAAGATTAAAGATATTCGATAGGACTCCGTCTATAGAGATAGGCTCGTTGCAGTGAAGGAAGAAGATCATTCCCGTTTAAGTAGCACTGGATCTGATCAGCTGCTACTCTCCGCGCGGGTCATTCCACTTTTTAAGAAAGGAAAGGCTGATGAGATGGACAATTATCGCCCGATTTCCATTTTACCTGTTTCATCTAAGGTTTTAGAACGGGCTGTACATATCCAACTCTACAAATATCTCCAGCAAAACAAGATCTTGAGCCCTTATTAGTGCGGATTTCGGAAGTGTCACTCGACAGAATTCGCTTCTCTTAGTTTTTCTGATAATATTCGTAGGAACATGGACCAAGGGCAATTAACTGGTGCTGTGTTTATTGACCTTCGCAAAGCTTTCGACACTGTGGATCATGCGGTACTTCTGGACAAGCTTTCCAATTTAAGGATTTTGGATAAAGAGCATGGCTGGTTTACGGATTACCTGTCGAGCCGCACCCACGTTGTAGAGTTTCAAGGGGTGACTTCTACTTCAGAAGCCGTCTCTACTGGAGTGTCTCAGGGTTCTATCCTCGGACCACTATTGTTTATTCTACACATTAATGATTTACCGGAAGTAGTGTCCGATTGCAATATTCTAATGTACGCTGATGACACTGTTTTATACTGTTCATCCTCTCTAGCATCTGTCATTTAAGACAAGCTGAATGCGTAACTGTCTAAAATTGACCACTGGCTTTCTTTTAATAGTCTGTTTGTTAATGGAACAAAAACTGAAGTTATCTGCTGTTAACTCTTTTTCTATTACTTTAAATAACAATGTAATTAAGCGGGTTTTTCACTAATAATAATAATAATAATAACAGTTTATTCACAGTATATCCACATAAAAAGGTGTGGCTCTTCATCTGTGAAGGCCTACGATACAAAAATTTAATATTAAAACTAACTGATAATGACTAACTAAATTGTAATAAAAACTATACCTGAAAGTAAATATGCAGAATATATTGGTTGGTGGTGGTGTTTGTTTCTATATCTTTGCAAGGAAGACAAAGCGCGCGCCTTCAAGAACGCCTTGCAGAGCCTGCAGTATTCTTTAAAATCTGTGCAATTCCTTATATTTGCTGGCAATTCGTTAAAAATCATGGCTGCTGAATGCTGAAAGGTGCCCTGTACAAATGGAACATAAAGCCTTGGAGCAACACTGGAACGGAGATGCCTAACGGGTTTAACGACTTGCAAATTTAAATGGGAGGGCCAGTTATCAGAATACAGTGCTTTAAAAATAGTCTTTAGTAGTGAGTAGTCCCTTAGCTCCAGGATAGGTAGCCAGCCAAGATCCAAAATGGTAGATATACTGTTTACATATTTACAAGTGATGAAACTAGCCATAGCGAACTGGAGCCTTTGTAGTCTAGCTGAGAGGAACTTTGGTAGTGGATAAAAAACAATGTCACAGTAGCTTATTTTAGACAGAATTAATGTTTCTACCAAATGTTTCCGTAGTTTAAAATTAGTAAAGTTCCTTATTTTTCTTAAGGTTCTCAGAGTCGCATAACAAGATTTAAGAATAAAATTGGTATGAAATTCCCATTTAAGATTTGAGTCAATGTGTACTCCCAGGAGTTTTGTAACATTTATACGTTCCAGTGGTTTACCGGAGATTTCTAATCCCAACTCCAGATTTCCGAGAGAGTGAACATGAGCCATCTGTGGAGTTGAGATAAGAATGGCCTTGGTTTTCTTAGAATTTAGGGCCAAGTTTGAGTCATTTGACCAGGCGCCGAGGCCTGCCAGGGTTGCATTCATGCTTTCCGCTTGAGATGTGATCTGCGGTGTAGAACAGCTAGTGTATAATGTTGTATCGTCGGCATATTGGAAACTTTTGACTGTAGGTGGAAGAATATCTTGAAGATCCGCGACGTAGAGATTGAACAACATCGGTCCAAGGATTGAGCCTTGGGGGATTCCAAATTCGGAGAGCACAGGTGACGATTTGCGATCATCAATTTGAACGTAATGTCTCCTGCCGCATAGGTAATTAGCCAGCCATTCGAGGACATACTTTGAAAAACCGAGGTGATGCAACTTGGTTATCGCCGTTTTAAAACAAACGGTATCAAATGCTTTCGAAAAGTCTGCTAGTACCATAAGAGTTACCTCTTTCCTTTTCATGNTATCTAGGTATAGTTTTTGATGACCGC